GAAGACAACAGAAAGAATAAGTGATGAGGTGAGAGACACAGAGATTGGGGTGGAGAATATGACAATTAGTGAAACACATATGGGGGGAGAGAGTATAAAAAGATAGTGGATAGATCACATAAGATTAAGAAAGAAGTAGAGAGAAGATGGGAGATGAGGAAGTGAGATTTAGAGAGACAGGACAAACAGACACACATAGAAGAAAGAAAGAGAGAAGAGTGATAAATGAGATAGAGCATAATAAGACATTTAATAGTATGATTAGAGATAAAAATGTAGATTAATAGAGGAGTGAGAGAGGAAATAAGATCGAAAGAAAAGATAGGAGAGAAGCACACCACTAAAAGAAAATAATTTTAGAGGAGAGAAACTCACAGTAGAATGATAGAAGATATATAGAAGGAGGCGAAAAAGAGATGAAACGAGAGAGAGAAAAAGAAAAGAGAAAGAAGATAGTCGAGAGAAAACGAGAAAGATGAAATGAGGAGAGACAGAGAGCAAGAGATATGAAGGGAAGAGTTAGAGAGGAAGAGAAGAATGAGCACGAGAAGAGATAAAAAGAGACCAAATGAGAGAAGTAGAGAGACAAGAAAAGATGAACGAAAGACACACAAGACAGATTTTAGAGTCAAAGAACACAACAGAAGAAAAAAGGAGTGATTGAGTAGAGAAAAGAGAAAAGAGAAGAAGTGGGGTAGGGGTAGTTGGAGAAATGGCTTTTTGCATAGGTTAAATGTGGTAGAATAAGATGGGTAGTGAGAAGAGAGAGGATGGAGGTGAAGAGACGAATAGAGAAGGAGATAGAGAGAAGACAGAGAAAAGAGACAGAGGTATGAAAAGCGATCAAAGTTTCGGTCGGCACACCCATAAACGAGTTAACCGTTCGCAAAAAATTTTTATAAAATGCTAAAATATATTGCGGAATAGTTACTTTGTCTTATAATTTGTGGAAATTTTGATTTTCTTAATTTATTAGTGGTTATTGAAAAATGAATGATGATAGAAAAGTATAGAAATGGATTTAATTGGTAACTTTTAAAAATAATAAATTATCATTAATTAACTAAATTTAATTCATTTGAAGTGGCATATGAGAATCATGGAACTGTATTGAGAATGAGAATGTAAGACAAGATTCATAAAATTACTGTTTGCACCAATTGGGGGTAGAAACATATCTGAGAGACATTGGAAGCGAGGACGAAAATAACCGAGAGACTCAATAACGAAACAAGGATTTGCGAGTCTCTTATGTGAGGGGTAAGATACACATTTTCGGGCGTGCATGGGACTTCCATAATTGAAATACTGTCTAATTGATGGTTAATTATGAGGGTGTTATACGATACCCTATCCAAATGAAAAGGTACGGTCGAACATTTCCCATTAAAGACCTCTATCCCCATCTTGAAAAATAGAATTATAAAGGTACTCACTTCGCTAATTTCTCGAGGGAGAGATATTACTTAAGGTTAATAATTTTTCTTTACCTGCTTTTTTACTTATATAAGTACTAAATTAAATGAATTAGGTAATAAGCAAAATTGTAGTTATAATTATACATATATAATTAAAATTTTTTGTTTATTCAAAAATTGCCCTTTGAATATAATATTGTTGGTTAAAATGTATCCAATTGTCATAGAATTGTACTTTTTTTGGTTGTTATTTAATTAATTTTGCCTCGGATTTAAAAAAAAAACAAAATAAAGGAAAATTCCAATAATTAATTGCTTTCATAAATTAACATTAGGTAAATTTTTTTTAGTTTTAAAGTAAATTAATATTGCACTAGAATAAATTAAAAAAATAAAATACACTGGATATTAAATACACACTATTATAGATGGGTGGGAGTTGGCCACCTCATACCTTAAGCAAAATAAGAAAAATTAAAAAATACTATGTTTGGTTTTTTTAGGGATACCCTAAATTTTCAAGTGGAGAGAATCTAAATGTATTGGGGTTATTTAAGTTAGAAAGTAAGAATAACTATTTTGGTTTTAATGTTTTTTTTTTTGGCATTTTTTCTTGTTCCGGGCTTTATCCTAATTTAATTTAGTATATGTAGCTTAAAGGTATACTCGTTTCGGTCGACTTTTGACAAGGAAATTATTGGGTTCGGCCGACATAGTTAACATTTGGCGAACCCAAGATTTTTTGGTTTTCCGCGCAAAGAGAATTGTTAAAAAATTTATAAGTTTTTTTTTTTATTCTTACATTTCGGGCTTCCTAAACTAATTTAAGGTAAGCTAAAATGCAGGTGTTCTTTTGTGCGATAACAAGGAATTTTTTTTGTCGTGGCTGTAGGTTATGAACATTTTGGGGCGGACCCAAGATTTTTGGTCGGCAAAGGATAAAATTAATTTTTTTTAAATTTTCATGTCGTCACATAAGCATAATAGATTAATTAGCTAAAGTGGAAGGTTCTTTTGGGTCGGACACAAGGGTAATTTTGGGTCGAGAGTGAGCCAAAAATAAAATTACATATTTGGCGACACCAAGATTGGTCGGCCAAAGAATTAATTTAATTTCTTATTATAGTTTTTTATTCGGTTGAATTCTACCCAAAATAATTTAGTTTACACTAAAGGACGCTCTTGCTTTCCTATATAGTTTGATTTAGAAGAATATTTCCATGTTTAGTTGTAAGGAATTGCATTTGTTGATAATTAACTTTTGGAAGATCTTTTGTGGTGTATTGTATTATATTTTGATTTTCAATTTGGTAAAAGAAATGGAGCTGTATCATTTTCTATGGGTTGATTTACTTGGAAATACTTGTAATTTGTAAAATTTATTATTTTTTCTTTAGATAATATTTGTGAAATGATTTTCACACTTTTCTTTTAACCTTTCACAACGGGAGTGTGAGAGGCTAACGGGGGAGAGTGAATATAATTTCTCTAATATTATTATTCAATAGAATGTAGATCCATTGCAATATTTTGAATTTTATCAAGGTCAGTTTTGTGGTAATTGGCATTTGAGGCCACCTTTATTATCAATTCTAACTTGCTTTGGAATTTTCTGTTTCTATTTACAGCATTCATGGGCAATGTGCAGCAACTATGAAATCTCTGTTAAGAGTAACTATAACTTTGAAAAACCTTTCTTGCACCTTGCCAGGAAGCTTGCAGGGTAATGGAATAGTACATTGTTTGTTATTTTATTTTTTGTTTATTTATACTGGTGGAGTTGTAGACTATTAGATAAAGATAAGCAATTAGTTGCAGGGGACTATTAGATAAAGATAAGCAATTAGTTGCAGGGGACTATTAGATAAAGATAAGCAATTAGTTGCAGGGGACTATTAGATAAAGATAAGCAATTAGTTGCAGGGGACTATTAGATAAAGATAAGCAATTAGTTGCAGGGGACTATTAGATAAAGATACGCAAGAAAACATCACAAATAATTATCTTTATCTTTGCAGGGGAACTCTCCAAAGGAACCTTTTGAATTAATATCATTAGAAAAATGAAAAAATGGTGTGATAAAAAATCCATCAAAGATAGTGTGATAATATCATTAGTTGCATTATGATGCAATGAAAAAATAGTGTGATAAAAAATCCATCAAAGATAGTGTGATAATATCATTAGTTGCATCTAGATTAGGTGCATTTAAACATATAAGAAAAATTTGATTAAAATATGAAAAAAAAATCCACCAAAGATTAAAAAATACGAAAAACAAAATTTCGTAAACAAATTTCAAATTTTATTTTTTGGTGGTGGTGGTGGTGGTTCACAGTTCTTAAATTTTTAACTTGTGGGGAACATTAGAGTCCAGGAATGAAAATTTATGAGTTGCTGTTAATGATCAATTTGTGGTGTTTCTTATCCCTTTGGTATTCTTTACAGGCACGAAGCTGAGCTTGCTGCAGCGGCTAGCCAGCCCCTTCCTGATGATGATGACGATGCATTTGACTAATGCTCATGACTTTAGCTTTTTGCTATCATTTTTCGTGCTCCTTTAGTTAATATGAGTTCTAAAAAAAAATTTCAACGCTATTTCATTTATGGGTGCTTAGTAATTCATTGTGCAGAGACCATTATACATCAGGATATGTAGTGAGATTATATTTTAAGTCAGGTTTTCTAATGGGTCATCTCACCATTAGTTTTGATTTATGACTGGCTCGCTATAATATCAGTTGGAGTGAGATTATTCAGGATATGTAGCCCTAGTACAAAAATACTATTCTCGTGTCTGGCAAGGCAACACCACAACCAAAGAAGTGAATTTTTTCAAATTTATGTAGAAGACATCCAACATATTTAGAAATTTTATTGTCTCTTTTTGAAGAAACTTGATTGACTTATATTTTGAAAATAGGCTGCAGGGCAAAAACAACAAAAGAAAAGAAAGGTTAGTGGTATATATTTTTTCTTATTTAGACAATTTAGGAGAAAACATAAAAGAGAAATTGATAAATTTACGCCGTCCACCTTGCATTGGAAAATGGTGAATATATTATCTATTTTTTCTTTGACAAATAAAATTATGGGATTATTTGTTGAATATATTTAATGCTAGAGGAAGTAGCAAAAGAAGTACATTGTTTGTTATTTTATTTTTTGTTTATTTATACTGGTGGAGTTGTAGACTATTAGAGGTTAGGAGTGTATTTTCACTCTTACCACTGAATTTTGAATTGTTCATTTCTGCCATTTCTGATTGATGCATCTATTTTATTTGTTTATTTTTTTGCTTGTTTTTGTGTCTGTTTTGGTTGAGTTTTTTAATTTTTTTGGTCTTTCATTTCACTCAAGTATTGGTGTATGTTATGAGATTTATGGGTTTTGAGATTTTTATATAATTTATGTATTTGGTATGCATTTCATAGCTGGATCTGTTCGGATTGTTTGTGTCTTAAGGTTCTGGGTTAATGTATGTTGATTTGTCTCTCAAATGGGTAGTACATTGACTCTACTCTCCTTTAGGGGATCATTATCGGGTTGCTTCAACTTTTTCTTCTCCACTGTCTTTTCCTTTTTCTCAGATGAAAAAAATATCATCAATAGATATCCAAGTCAACAGAACTCTGGTTGTGTTTTAGAGATTGCCTCCCTTTTGAGTGGGAAGTTGGCTTTACAGTTGCCGAAGTTACAGAGCTTGTGAGGAAAAAAAGAAAAAGGAAAAGAAAATCTTTTAGGTATGTTGTTGAGGGATACTTGTTGGAGAATGTCAACAGAACTCTGGTTGTTATGTAATTAATTTTATTTTAATTTTCTAATTTAACAATGAATTATGTTGATGAATATTGTAGTTTTTCCATGCCATCTGTTCTATGCATCTAGTGCTAAGACATTTAGAGCATAAAGTGTCCTGCCTTTTGTTTTGTTTTGTTTTGTTCGTTTGTTTGTTTTCGTTTTTTGTTTTAACAAATGAATTTTGGGCATATGCAACAAAGAAATTTTTGACTATACAAGAATGGCAACAAACAAAAGAATGAGTTTGTTATTTTTGTTGTTTCTCTGTTTTTTGGTATTTGGTTTTTGGTGCCTCATAATTGTGAATGGTATTGATATGTTATTGTCATGACTGTTGTTTTTACAAGAACTGGAGTGCGAACTAGAAACATTACTTACTGTGCAAGTCCAGCTTCGATTTTGTGATTTTTGGCCACGAGTAATTTTAATTTTGGGAGTTTTCTTTGTTGTTGTAAATTTAAATTGTTTGATCACACAGATATTACAAGACTCTTTCAATTTTATTCGATTCCTTTCTTATGTTGTTTCTTCGTATTCCTCTGTTTCCTCTGTTTTTTTCTCAGGTATACAGAATTTGGTGGTGTAGTTCCTTATAGACCTGTTGAAGACTTGGCATTTTCAGTTACTAGGTTTATACAAAATAATGTTTCACTCATGAATTATTATATGGTAAGTCCATTCCAAATTATATTATTTATAGAAATAGTTCAGCCCATGTACAATGAATTTTTTTCTTTTCTTTTCTGTATCAGTACCATGGCGGAACAAATTTTGGGCGGACAGTTGCTGGTCTCTTCATTGCCATTAGCTACGACTATGATGCTCCGATTGATGAATATGGTATGATACCCAAAAACAAAAACAAAAACAAAAAATACAAAAAATACAAAGAAAAATGCGTGTATACACATGCATATATTGTGAGATCATGAGTAAGATTATCGTGCATGTATATATGATACGAATAATTTGTTATCTTGAAGGATTACTAAGAGAACCAAAATGGGGGCATTTGACAAATTTGCATAAAGCTATCAAGCAATGTGAACCAGTTTTGGTTTCCTCGTATCCTGCAGTGACTTGGCCTGGCAATAATCTAGAGGTAGATTAAGCAAAAGCTATCAGGTAAATGACTTGGCCTGGCAAAATATACTGTGGTTTTCAACATTTGTCACTTTTTTGACAATTGAAACTCGCTCTTTTTCATCAACGGCCAACTATCAGGTAAATGAACTTATTTAGTAATTTTAACAAAAAATTGAAAAGACTTTCATGAAATGAGCTTTGACCTGTATCTTGATTTACTAATACATGTTTATGGCAGGAACCGTGTACGGGCCACTAGGGAATCCAAAACTGACATATAGCAGCACTGTGAAGTTGAGAGCCGGAATTAACAAGATTTCTTTACTAAGTGTTGCTGTTGGCCTTCCGGTTAGTCCATACCTTCTGATAAAAGTTTACATTCTTGGGATGTTAATGACAGTAATGGAATCTTTCTAAATTCTATTGGATCAATTTCATAATGTCGGTGGGCATTATGAGACATGGAACACGAGGGTTCTTGGCCCGGTCACATTGAAGGGCCTCAATGAGGGGACAAGAGACTTGACAAAGCAACAGTGGTCTTACAAGGTTTGTTTTTTGTTTTCATGAGTTTTCTGCTTCCATTTTCTGTTTCCAAGTATACTCTCTACATTTCAAAATGGTAAAAGTCCAAGGCAATGATGAAACCAGTAAGTTTCCTTCAAAGTCGAGTGGTGAAAACAATAATAAAGGGATACCAGAATTTATCAGAAGATAATAATAATAAAGGGATACCGGGATGAAAATAAAGCATGATATGGGAAAAGAAGTTCATATAGTTCATAAACAAGCAATAAAAATTAAGATTGATGTTTCTATGTAGGTTGGTCTAAAAGGCGAGGGCTTAAAACTGCATACACTTGATGGAAGTTCCTCTGTTGAGTGGGCTGAGGGATCACTATTGGCTACAAAACAACCCTTGACATGGTACAAGGTAATAATCATCCCAAACCCCCTGTTAACGCCTTTTTGTTGATACTTATAAGTTCCATTATCCATAGCTGCACAAATGAATTCATATAAGAAGCTTTTAATTCATTGAACAATCTTTCCAGACTACATTCAACGCACCAGCACAAATGAATTCATAAAAAACTTTTAATTCATTGAACAATCTTTCCAGACTACATTCAACGCACCAGCAGGAAATGATCCATTAGCTCTTCTTTTTTTTTGGTTGATTCTCCTTTCTCATCTCTTTCTGATTTTGATTTGATTTCTAGAGTTTTGATTTTGATTTCTAGGGTTTTGATTTTGATTTGATTTCTATTCAATTAAGCTAAATTTTTCTCCCTTCCAGTTTCATTTCAGCATTTTTTTTTGTTGATAAATACAGTTTCATTTCAACTTTATGATCTCAAGGATCAAGGATTCATAGAGACAGGAGCTTATGAGGTATTTTGAATTGTGTTGTGTTTATAGCTCTTCAATGAAAATTTCTATTGATTTGGTTATGTAACATGTTTTGATGGTTTGAATGTCTCTGTTCTTACAGAAATTGTTTCCAATTGCTAGTTAAATTTTGCTTTGTTCTGAATTTTGATGGAGATATTAGTTGCTTAGTTAGGATCATTAAATTTAACTTGCAAGAAAGATATAGAGATCATAGATGCTCTTAGCAAGTTGCTTGACTTTAAGACTTGTATATAGAGATTCCAATAATTGACTTGAAGCTTTAACTCCCTCTTAATCAACTACCAACCGTCTCTGCTTTATTGTGAGAATCGTGGTAGCAATGATAACACACATACATGGATCTCTTTTAGCTGCCCCTGTTTGGCCATTGAAAAAGCATTTGCCAAACGCCACTTAACATAGTACTTTATTATTTATTCTTTTCGTATTATTCATCTATTTTTAGCAAATTACAGCGGCATATTGCAAAGTGGGTCTGCTATGTTCACACATAATGCTCTATCAGATTATACCCCAATTATCCATTATCCTGATGTCTCAAATTATTTTAACTACATCATGAGTTTCTCTAAACATGATAAGACGAGAGAATTGGTGACTGGGGATTTGATCTATGTTTTATCATTATAAGCTAGTTTACATCATCTTTGATTGAACCACTTATACAGGCACGAAGCTGAGCTTGCACGAAGCTGTGCACAATATTGTTTAATTTTAATTTTAATATATTGTTTATACAGGCACGAAGCTGAGCTTGCACGAAGCTGTGCACAATATTGTTTAATTTTAATTTTAATATATTGTTTATACAGGCACGAAGCTGAGCTTGCACGAAGCTGTGCACAATATTGTTTAATTTTAATTTTAATATATTGTTTATACAGGCACGAAGCTGAGCTTGCACGAAGCTGTGCACAATATTCTTTATAGGCACGAAGGTGAGCTTGCTGCAGCGGCTAGCCAGCCCCTTCCTGATGATGATGACGATGCATTTGACTAATGCTCATGACTTTAGCTTTTTGCTATCATTTTTCGTGCTCCTTTAGTTAATATAAGTTCTAAAAAAAAAATTTCAACGCTATCGAAGGATTTGTGTATGAGAGGTGAATGTATCGCGGAGAAGAGACCATTTTAGTTATTCTTTAGCCATTGTTTGAAGTTTGGTTGTGGTTGTGGTTGTGCTTTGTGGTAGAATTCTTTAGGCTGCCATATGGATGTTTTGAGTCACTTCAAGTGTTTGCTTGAAGATTTTAAATTATGTATGGATTTAAATTATTGACGTTGGATTAGACTTGGAGTGTATGGAATTTGTATGGATTATGTATGGATTATTGACCCTAATATATTTTAGTATTGATGGATTATATTGTTTATACAGGGTACAGGTTGTAATTTAAATTATTGACGTTGGTTATTCATGTATTATGTATGTCCAGGGGGCCTCATCAAATAGCATGAACTCCTTCCCAAGTTTAGGTTGCTTAACCTCATCATTTACGCCAATAAAAAAAAATTATTTGGCCACCAAATGTTTTGGTAGCCAAATAGGTAATCAAAAGTTTTGGCTACTAATAATTTAGTAGCAAAACCATAACCCAAAATGTTTTTGCCACCAAATAATTAGTAGCTAAAAGATTTGAGAATGAGAGAAAGAAACTATTGGCCACCAAATGTTTTGGTAGCCAAATAGGTAATCAAAAGTTTTGGCTACTAATAATTTAGTAGCAAAAACATAACCCAAAACGTTTTTGCCACCAAATAATTAGTAGCTAAAAGATTTGAGAATGAGAGGAAGAAACAATTGGAGACTAATTCTTTAGTGGCGGAAACATAACTTTTGCCGACTAAACTAAGATTAGTAGCCAAATGTGTACTTTCGGCGACCAATTATTTAGTAGCTAAAAGTGATACCTTCCCCGACCACAACAAGTTAGTAGCCAAAAAGCCTCATTCGGCGACTAATATTTTAGTGGCGGAAACATACTTTTTGGCGACTAAACTAAGATTAGTAGCCAAACGTGTACACTTTCGGCGACCAAACAAATTTTAGTCGCCAATACTATCGCCGACAGGGTAAAGGCGACGAGCTTAGCGACAACAAATTTTGGTCGCTAAACACCTTCGGCGACTAAATAAGTGACTTTTGGCGACCAATATTTTGGTAGCCAAAAGTGACATTTCTTGTAGTGACTAGTCAGTATACTAATTAATGCATATAGCATTATTCTATTGCGGTGGTGTTACATACACCAATTAGTTTACTCACTAATGTATCAACACTAGTTAGGGTACTGTTATGGTGTGCAACCCCTTAAGGTTGCACACCATGTGCAACCAACACAAAAGGTGTAAGTGAGAGGTATAAACATAAAACTGGACAACAAACAGAAAGCGTAAGCGTAAGATGTAAGTTGCACACTTAAGAAAAGTCTCACTAGTTATGATATTATTATTGACCACACTCATTAATTACATTACGAATACCAAAACCTCTTAAATCATGTCACATCATCAATTGGTACATTAGTTAGTACACTAATTAGTGCATATAACATTATTCTATTGTGGTGATGCTACATGCACCAATTAATGTACTAACGAATGTACCAACACTAGTTACAAAATTATTATTGACCCCACTCATTAATTACATTACAAATACCAAAACCTCTTAAATCATGTAACATCATCAATTGGTACACTAGTTAGTACACTAATTAGTGCATATAGTATTATTCTATTGCAGTGGTGCTACATGCACCAATTAGTATACTAACTAATGTGTCAATACTAGTTATGATATTATTATTGACTCCATTCATAAATTACATTACAAATACCAAAACCTCTTAAATCATGTCACATCATCAATTGGTACACTAGTTAGTACACTAATTAGTGCATATAACATTATTCTATTGCAGTAGTGCTTCATGCATGAATTAGTATACTAACTATTAGACTTATTTATTTTGATGATTTATTTAATTATATTTAAATTTATTTGAAAAAGAAAAATATAATCCAAAATTTATTTTGAAAATTTATTTAATTATATTTTAATCAAAATTTATTTTGATGATTTATTTGAAAGAGAAAAATAGAATCATAATTTATTTTGATGCTTTATTTGAAAGAGAAAAATAGAATCAAAATTTATTTTGTCCCATTATTTCTCACCTAAACCTTTGTCCTAAATGTTATTAGAATGTATTTAATATTTGATTAAATCAGAAGTTCAAACAGCCCAAAACAAAGGCTCAAACAGCGTAACACAGCAGCAGGCCAAAAAGTTCAAAAGGTTCAAGTGGAAGATATTCAAATTAGTAATAATCGAAGTATAACGGCTATAAAGGTTCAAAAGGTTCAAGTCGAAGATATTCAAATTTGTAATGATGGAGTGGAAGATATTCAAATTGGTAATGATAGAAGTACAACGGCTATAAACGGCTATAAATTCAAATGAATATAACGGCTATAAACGGGTATAAGTTTCATTATATATACCAAAGCTTCTAATGTAAACAAGTGACAAGAAAAACTAGAAAATATTATTTGATCTATAATCACTCACATCTATTATCTGAAAAATTCTCTGAGAAATGTTCTTCAATTTTTGTTTACATCCTCTCTCAGAAATTATACACTGAGCCTTATAGCATTAAGCTCATCTTTCCTGTGTAAGGTTTACAGAAAAATCATAGCTTCATTTTATATATTTATCTTTGAGAGATATTTATTGTAAGTTTTCTTTGAAAGCAAAAATACAATTTCATCTTGTAAAAATGTTGCAAACATTGTGTTCTTGAAATCTTGAGAGTGATTGTGAATCACGTAAGATTTGTAAGGGTTTGGGCTTGTGAAGTCTATATAAAATTCGTAGAGGATTGCTTTATTTGTAAAGAGGTTGCTAGCACCCCTGTGAAGTTAGAAGGTAGTGGAAAATATCAAGTGAAGCTTGAAGAGTGGGTGTAGGCTTGGTTGAAGCCGAACTACTATAAATCTGTTTGTCTCATCTTCTTTAATCTTTTTACTTTCCTACTACTGCTATAGCTATCTAATATTCATGTATTAATCATTTGATTTACCATTGTATGTTAGTTATACTTCATGGTTATTTTGCTTGATCATTTACTGCTAAGTTCATTATTGTACTTGTTAATAATTTGTTGTACTAGTAGTTAATTTTATTGGGGTATTATTAATTTTAATTTGTAGAAACCTAATTCACCCCCCTCTTAGGTTGCTTTTTGGGTAACACTAACTAATGTGCCAACACTAGTTATGATATTATTATTGACTCCACTCATTAATTACATTACAAATACCAAAACCTCTTAAATCATGTCACATCATCAATTGGTACACTAGTTAGTACACTAATTAGTGCATATAGCATTATTCTATTGCGGTGGTGCTACATGCACCAATTAATGTACTAACTAATGTACCAATACTAGTTATAAAATTATTATTGATCACACACATTAAATACATTACAAATACTAAAACTTCTTAAATCATGTCACATCATCAATTGGTACACTAGTTAGTACACTAATTAGTGCATATAGCATTATTCTATTGCAGTGGTGCTACATATACTAACTAATGTGCCAACACTAATTATGATATTATTATTGACCCAGTCATAAATTACATTACAAATACCGAAACCTCTAAAATCATGTCACATCATCAATTGGTACACTAGTTAGTACACTAATTAGCGCATATATTATTATTCTATTTCAGTGGTTCTACATGCACCAATTAGTATACTAACTAATGTGCCAACACTAGTTATGATATTATTATTGACCACACTCATAAATTACATTACAAATACCAAAACCTCTTAAATCATATAACATAATTAATTGGTACACTAGTTAGTACACTAATTAGTGCATATAACATTATTCTATTCTGGTGGTGCTACATGCACCAATTAGTATACTAACTAATGTACCAACACTAGTTATAATATTATTATTGACCACACTTATTAATTACATTACAAATATTAAAACCTCTTAAATCATGCTACATCATCAATTGGTACACTAGTTAGTACACTAATTAGTGCATATAACATTATTCTTATTATTGACATCACTCATTAATTACATTACAAATACGAAAAATCTCTTAAATTATGTCATATTATCAATTGGTACACTAGTTGGTACACTAATTGGAGCATATAATATTATTCAAAAATTTAAGAATTACAATAAATAATTTTTTTAATTAATTGTGATTTAATTGAATTAATGTTATACACTATAAAATTATGTGTATGAAAAAGGAGAGAGAAATAAATTTTAAAAAAAATAGGATTGAAAAGTATTATAATCATTTCACATTTATAGTTAACGTTGCACTTTGTTCCAATAGGATTGAAAAGTATTATAATCATTTCACATTTATAGTTAACGTTGCACTTTGTTCCAAAATTACTTGGAGTTTTATGATTTTATTTCAGCCATAAGAGATGAACTGTTCTGGTCTCAAATCACAAGGAGGAAAAATAAATTTTGCATAAAGAAATAACATTTTCTCTTCTATATTATCCTAGATATAGATATAGATATAGATGTAAAGTATTTTGTATGCCTACTTACGTTATGGAGGAAGAAAAAAAAAAAAAAGAAGGGTTTGTAAGTGGTAATTAATAGTATTTTATTTTATTTAATGCATCTTAAAATTTGTTAAATTTTGAATAATATGTTAAAAATAGAATTGTTTTTTTTTTTTTTTGGTTAGATAGGAAATAGAAAGTTACACAATTTAAAATAATATTAAATACACATTAACAAATTAAAATAAAAAATTATTAATCTCAAAATAAATTAATATAACATTAAGTTAGCAATAGCCAAAAAGGAAATCCGAGTTCAAGGTTTTGTCTCGAGTAATTATTGGGTGCTCCTACAATACGGTCACGTGATTTTGCATGAGTGTTGTGATGGTAAAAAAAATGAAATCCGTGATTTTATGTTAAATGATTAGAGAATATAAGAGAGTATAATATATGATGATTAATAAATAGTAATATGTGACACTCTAAGAGCATTCAATAATTTTTCATCTTATTAATCATTAATTTCAATTTTTTTTTTTGAGGGTTGTCCTGTTTCTCTTCTTCCCACTAAGTTGAAAAATGCATTCAAAACACTCACATCAAAAAATATTTATTTTAAATTGAAAAAAGAATACATGGAACATATTTTTGTGGTAAATATTACTTAAATTTTTTTAATAGAGTTATGACCATTTGTGATTCATAATTCAAGTTATATATTTTGTGATAATGTTAAGCATTTTTGTAATAATATTCCACATCTTGTGGTTCAAAAATATTTCAATGAAAAAATGTATAAAACTATCACAAAAATCATAAAATGCATAATTTCATTTCTGAATTACAAATTATTTTAACTCTATCAGAAGATTATGTAATATTTATCACAAAAATACATATATCAAAAAACACATAGCAACATGTGCATAACACATACCTTACATAAGGTGTGTACCAAAAATATTTCTTTAAAAATAAAAAAAAAAAATAGTGATAGACTATTAATTTTGGATATTTACAATTGGGTGTTGCTTCTCTCAAGTTGTCATCTCAACTTGAGAGCGCTTGTGTTTAGTAGGCTCATACAAAAAATCAATATGATTGAACATCAGTAACTATATATTTGAATCATATTTATTTTAAAAAATAGACAACAAATATAATTTCGAAAATAACCATTAATTTTTTATAATACAAATTGATTCAAACATATAGCTACCGATATCCGATTATTTTGAATTTTTTTCATGAATATTTTACTCAATGAATCCTATTAAGTAAACGGGTTGGATCACCAAAATCGATTCCAAAATGAGTTTGGCAAGCCCAAACATTCTCTCAAGTTGATATGACCAACTTGAGAGAAGTCATTATATACAAATAATCTCATGAAATCATAAATGGAATGGAGAAGGTCAATATGCACTAAGATCCCTCAATTATTAGCAAATATTGTTTAATTTTTTTCATTTATAAACTCGTAATAATGATACCCTCAATTATGAAAATCATATAAAAATACCTCTTTTGGAAGTGGTCGGGAGGGGATCTGAATGGAACAAAAATAATTTTTATAATTGAGGAGGTCAAAAATCAAAACATATGAATTCATAAATTAAAAAATAAAATAATATTTACTAATTGTTGAAGGAATTTGAGTGTAAATAACCATATCACACTAGTTATGCTAGGGACCCCAAATATTCTACTAAATATTCTACCAAACATCTTACATGAGTGAGACTCACACAAAACAAATTACCAAATTTTTTACCAAATCTCTCATATGAGTGTGGGACCCACACACATTTGATTTGTGTGAATTCCATACCCATGTGAGAGGTTTAGTAGAAAATTTGATAATTTGTTTGGGGTCCATAACATTTTCCTTAAGAGAAATCAATTTGTAATATCATTTTCCTTTCACGTCACACAATTAACATAGAGTCAAATCTTGGTAATATAACAAGAAACAAGAGACTTTCTAGCTAAACAATTATTTTTTTTCAAAAATAGAACTATTAATTTTCTCATTAATTAATCCCATTATATATATATATATATATATATCTAGCATTTGATCTCTCTCTTCATCTGTGTTTCATTTTCAAATTGCTCTCTTGTTTGTGTTCAAACTTTCTTGTTACTTTGCTCCCCTTCTAACCCTAATCATATTTCTAAACCCCTATGCAAATGGAGAGGATATAATAAAGCAAGAAAATGGGTGCAATCTTTTCCAAGGAAGTTGGGTTTTTGATAATACATATCCACTCTATGATGCATCAAATTGTCCATTTGTTTCATCAGATTGGAATTGCCATGCTAGGCCTGACAAGGACTACCTCAAGTATAAATGGAAGCCTGATGGTTGTGACCTTCCAAGGTATATAATTTAATAAATCCTTTTTTTTTTTTTTTCTATGGGATATTGTTACTTTTTTCCCTTGAAATTTAGTTTTCATGAGTCAACGATGCTTATTTTCACCCTTTTTGGGTAGAGAGATACATGCTACTTCATTTTTTGTTTTGAACCTTTTTTACCTCTTATGACTATTTTTTGAGTTGGAGTTGTTTTCAGTCCGCATAGTGAACTATACTAGTCCAACTTAGGCTTGTGGACCCCTCACGGGCCTATTTTGATATCAACCGTGCTGGGGACCCCCAGTGGGGGTGACCCCCAGCACCCCCACTCCACGTGGGGCTCTGTGATTGGCAGAGAGAAGGAAAAATAAATAAATAAAATTTCAGCCAATAAGAAAACACTGGGGGTCACTGGGGGTCTGAAAAACTGGGGGTACAAAGCATTTTTGTTTTGATATTTGATCTGTTAATTTTTTAAGACCTACTATAGGTCATTTTTAAATAAAATTTTTAAAAAATCGAAATTAATTTAATAATTGTAACAAGATATAAAAAGTAAAATCATGTGGGTATAATTATTGAATTTTTTATGAATGTTTCATTAGAACCTAAACAATTACCAGATGGGATATTGAAATAAAACTTATTATAGATCCACATGTCCAAATTGGACCGTTCAATCTTTTAAAAGGACTAGAAATAAGCATCCCCTCCCCACTACCCCCTCTTAGGGATTGTTTGGGGAGTGATTTTTTGACTAAAATAAACAAAAATCCAAATCAAGTTATCACATCACTCTCTCACTTCTCTTTTAAATGTCTTTTCATAAAAAATTAAAAAACTATCTAAAATAATTAATTTTCAAACAAGCTCTTAATATATAAGGTTAGTTAGTGCTACCAAATATATACATATATGTATATATGGACTCTCTGTTGAGCTTTGGAATGTGGATGACAATATAACATATATGAAAAATAGTTGAGAGCATTAAAAGTGGTGCTAAATAGCCCCACTAATTGTTGGTGGGAGTGGGGTACAAACCACTTATGGTGATTCACAAAAAAACAAATACAAGAGAGAATTTATAATCTGAAAAAACAGATTTATTTCGCTCAAATATTTAGAATACTGAAAGGAGAAAACTCACTCTTACTCTCTAATTCTCTTCTTTCTCCCACACTATGAATTCCCAATATACAATAGCTATATATAGATAAAACTAACAATGTGAAAACATTAAATGCAAATAAGACTGAGGCAATGAATTTCAAACGGTTGCAACCACTTTTGACAAACTTGATTTGCAGCCTCCACTTTTGACAAACTTGAATGCAACCTCTATTCTTAGGCCGGTGGAAAAACAATTTTTTTTATATCAAGATTACTTCACAACACTAATGATGTGGCCCATTGCCTGTGCCTTTTTTTTTTTTTTGGAATATTTTCAATACATTAGTGCTATTAGTGATCTTTTTTTTTAGTGGTATGAATCATTGTTGTAACATATATGCATAGCTTCAACGGTGCAGATTTCCTGCAGAGGTGCAGAGGGAAAAAAATAATGTTTGTGGGTGATTCTCTAAGCAACAATCAATGGCAGTCTTTGACTTGCATGCTTCACACTGCTGTCCCAAACTCTAAGTACACCTCATCCAAAAGGGGCCAACTCTCCACATTTTCATTACCAGTAAGTTCTTATTTATTAGTAAATTTAGCAATTCAAAGTGGTTTAAAAATTTATTATTTAAAAAAAAAAAAAAAAAAAAAAAAGGGATCTTAAATTTTTTTTGCAAAAACTATATATATATATATATCAACGTTTATTAATTTAGCGCCCATGTACTCTAAAGCAAGCATGTGTCGTTTCAAGCATCCCATTTTGATTTGTTATCTGTTTTCATTTTTTGGAGGAATATGGAATTTCAATTATGCCGTTCACAACGCATTTTTTTGTTGACTTGGTGACGGAGAACGTAGGTCGAGTTCTGAAGCTTGACTCGATCAGTGCCGGCAACCAGTGGTTAGGAGTTGACATCTTGATTTTCAACAGCTATCACTGGTGGCTCCACGAAGGCAAACTCCAACCGTATGATTTTTTTATTTGTTTAATTTTTTTTGTTACATTATTAACTTTCCTTCTTCAACCACATCAATGAGATGTGGTGTTTTTGTGCTACATTGTTGTTGTTGTTGCAGATGGGATTACATACAAGTTGGTGACACTTTGTCCAAAGACATGGATCGCATGGCAGCTTATAAGATTGGTTTGACAACATGGGCAAAATGGGTTGATTCGAACATCAATCCTTTGAAGACTAGAGTCTTTTTCCAAGGAATTTCTGCTACTCATTACCAGTAAGAGCATCTCTAATAGTAATTTTGTCATTGTTGTTTTGGTCCGGGAATGGGTCCAGGGATAGCTCCCAAGTCAATGAGCTGGGTCTCTTCTTGTTTTACCACTACACCATCACCCCCTGCTCGGTCAAGGTCTTGTCAATTTGACAACACCAAACTAATATTTTCACAACTACAAAAAAAACATACTCAAAAATAGATATATCGTCGCATTCATTTGGATGTAGTCCCCACCACAACCAAAATGAATTTGGCCCACACGTTGATTTTTATGTGCTCATTTCTATACAATTTTATGTGCACATAGTATTATTGTTTTAGTATTCTACAATACCCAAAATGCTCGAGTCCGCCAATCCTGCTCTTAGAGCTACTCCAATAGACTGTCATTTTGGGAATAATGACTACTGAAGTTGCTTTAAGTGCAAATAGCATTTCTTCTATTTTTTGCACGCAATGCCAAATTAAAATGTTATTTCTAAGCCCATCACGAGAAAAGTAGGGAGAAGAGCCTAACCAAAATTTCACGGGTGATATTTTTTATTTTTTTCATGGGTTATATATTATACGATTGTAGAGCTTGCCATGTTTTATCGACCACAGGTAAAATAACAGGCCATTGGAGATGCTCTAAGCTCTTCAGCAATTCATATCACTTTTTGGACAACTACCTCTAGCTGAATGGACATTCATTCATCTGGAGAAAAAACACAAAAAGATCAATCCAAACAGTACTTTTACTGCATATATATATATGCTTATAGACTTTCCATTTTCAGGTTCTTATTCAGTTTCTTACTTGTGTTTTTGGATCTTATCAGCGGCATTGACTGGAATCAACCAAAAGTGAATAACTGTCGAGGGCAAACCAAACCAATAGATGGGTCAAATTATCCTGGTAATCATTATCCAGGAGAAGCAGTGTTGAAGAGTGTATTGGGCAGCGTGAAAAAGCCTGTGAGTTTGCTTGACATAGCATTGCTCACTCAACTAAGGAAAGATGGCCATCCAAGCCAGTATTCTGGCACTGGCTTCGTCTGCAGTCACTGGTGTCTAGCTGGTGTCCCCGACTCTTGGAACCAACTCCTGTACACAATTCTAACCCAGAAGTAAAAATAAAAATAGTAACAATAATAATAAAAGAAATTGACTCAATAATTTTGATTTCTTCGGCAATTATTTCAAAAAAGAAATATATTGAATTCTATGAGCATGTTTCAAAGGACTGAAGTCAGAAACCAAAAGCTACCATTTTAGCATTTGTTGTATAACAATGCAAATTTTACCATTTTACCATTTGTTTCGAAGGACTGAATCCATCTAGAGATTTTATGATAAGCAAGATAGAACACTACAATCTATTCCTACTCGGTCCTCCAACCCCAACTTTATTGGATTGGAGGAAAACAAAATGCAAAAGGCATAGCAAAATAGAGGTGATCCGACAATGAGAAACATAAATAGAAAAGAAGCCACGAAAAACAAGATCTCCTTCATCATTATAATTTACTTCAATTCTAGCCATTAAATTTGACACATGAAAATCAAGTGCTCTGATGAAATGGTCAAACGCTTAAGAAATACATAAAATTTGGTAAATTTGTGAACCAATATACCTCCTTTCAATATATGCATTTTATTTGGGAAGATCAAGTCACAGATATACCAAAAGTTTTCATGATCCTTATCATCTTTTCATCATATGATTTCTCTAAGTGGAGCTTGTCTGGGTCTTGTAGCTTGTTTTTTGTGTGGTCATTCAACTAGTATGGCCTGTTAGTAGGGTAATTTGAACTATGTATCTACGCGTTTTTTAACACAACATGATGTTCTTTTTGTGGCAAAAACAAACTTCTCTAATTGGAAGCCGCCACAAACTGGACACGTGCAAAATTCTCACATACGATTAATCCCCCCTCCGGTTCTGTTCGATATTGGGCCCACTATAGTTCAGGACTCTAAAATTTGTCACGGTTCTAAGTCTGAACCAAAGAGTCTAAATCCGGCAAATTGTTTTGAGAAAACAGATTTTTAGAAAAGAAGTGCCAAACATGGACTGCTTTGCCAGATATAGAGTCGCCACCTAAATATTTTATTTTGGAAAATTTAGGAAACCCTGACTCGTTGCCTAAGGCCACGTGTCCGTCATCACCAAAGTTGCCTCGGCTCGGGAACTTGGGTACGATCGGGGAAGGTCACTTCGTGAGCACCCCCGCTCGCCCGATCAAAGATCGGCCTCTACTAACCATGATATCTATTTTTGAAAACCTTATGTGTTCTTATTCCGGTTATTAGTCTAGATTTGCTATGTTATGCGCACATCATACAAGTATAGACTGGATCGCCTGAATTGGAATAAAACATTTCATGTTTGTTTGTTTGAAAATAGTTTGATGGTGCTACCCGCAAGTAGGCTAAGATGTGGTTTTGCCAACCTCGGGTGGGCTTAGAAAACATGATTTTGCCACTATCTAGTGGGCTTAAAACATACATTTGATAAATTGTTCCAATCCAAATAACCCAACCTTCACCCACAGGCATTCAGGCAGTTATATCACATAAGCATATAGCCTCATGGTAAGCATTCTATTCATGGTAGTCACTCACATGCATGTAAGGATGCTAAAGCATAAAACTTACCAAGTATTCCAAGTCAAAACAGAAGCTAATTAGAAATCCATGCATGATCCTAAATATGCAGAAATGTCTAATGCAACACATGCAAAATGCAACTATAGCAGGCTCGGCTATTCTAAACATGGCATATGAGATGCAACAGCTAACAAGTATTCAACTTTGAAATTGAAATACAAATGCAGTTAGTATGATGCGCCGAGCCCGGTGCATGCAAAACAGATGAATGATGCAAACATGCTGTCATATTGTATGCTAATTGAAACATGCCCTAATCTAACCATTATAAGCTGGTAAATAAAAGGGAGAAAGACGTGGGGTTGGAAGACATACATTACACACACGCACACTTATTACAACATTGCCCTCGCATAGAGGGTCCAAATAAATAGTACAGTCCAAGTAATACAGTCCAAATAATACAGCCCAAATAATACAAATCTCTAATTAATTTACAAATTAACTAAGAAAAATAATAAACTGGCATGCAAGCTAGGGACTGTCTTGACTCTTCTCCAAATGATGAATGATGCATATCCGGGTCGCCTTTGCGCGGAAATCCACTGTGACGCCCCAATTAGCCTCTGTTTTGTAATATTTTTTTGGAAAGCATGCCAAACCCCGGAAGACAGCTGATTCTTGATTTGCTGCAACAGAGAGCAGGAAAGGGGCATGGCAATGTATTTTCACACATGTATGTGTGACTACTCTTCAGGGAGTGTAGTCCTCGATCCTCGTGCCACCAATCACGCATATCGATGCATGATGGCCGAGGAGTCGATTTGCATGACTCAATATAGAATGAATGCACATGAAAACTCAACTAAAACCTAACTCCATCATGGATAATCCAGAGTGTCGGTGACTGGAGAATTGAGACACGTTCCGTCACTCGGAGCACGAAACGTACCGCGTTTCCCGTGCTCGGGCTAACTCCTATCCCAAACACAATGCAATATGCATGACATGCATGAAATGCAACTAAGATACAACCTAACATGCAACATGCTATGAAATGGCATACACGATGCATGAGATAACATGGCATACACAATGCGCTAACATACAACCTAGCATACACAACGCTATGGAATGAAATGGCATACACAATGCACAAGGGACTTACACCAACATGAGTGGACCTCAGCCACACTCACGTAGGAGGCTATGGCGATGAAAATGAGACAACTCGAGATGCGCGCGCGCATGCACGCAAACCGAGGATCGACCCTAAGGCACAAAATGCCACTCTAACAAGACATGGCAAGGCATGAAACATGGTATGCTAGCATGTAAATTTCAGCAGCAAAAAGTGATGCAAAACGGCCCCGAAACATGACAATATAGCACCCGATGGATGAAATGAGACCCGAAATGCAAAACTAGGCATACTCAATGACCTATAGCTATACAAAGCATGCATTATTCGAACATGAAATGTAAAGACAGACTCAATAAAGTCCCAAAACAAGCATATTTACAGTTTTAAGGAAGGCCAAACAGCGAACACAAATGGGGCTAAGCTAGCATGCAAAAATGGCTCCGAAAGCGAGATAATGAAGCAAGTAACAGCTTCTGGCCCCAAATGGCCAAGAACCCTTCAACAAAGTTGAAGATGGGCTCAAAATGAAGCACTTTACAGTTTACAACCGAGCCCAAAACAGTGAATAAATAAGCTTAAAATACCATGCAAAATAAGGCCTAAAAAGAGGTTTAAACACAAAGTGTAAAAAGGGAGCCTAAAACATCAAAATACCCTTGATCAAATATGAAGAGGGGGTCAAAATAAGTCTATTTACAGTTCGTACCAGAGTCCAAAAATGCAAACACAAGGGGCTAACAAATCATGCAAAAAATAAGGCCAAAAGAGGGATATAAAGGCAAGTGGCAAATGGAAGCCTCAAACAGTGATGAGCCCTTCAACAATGTTGAAGAAGGGCTCAAAATAAGCCACTTTACAGTTTATGACAGAGCTCAAAACAGTTTATACGTAGGCCAAAAATGCTACACAAGAAATAGGCATACAAGAGAGGTAAAGAAGCAAGTGCAAAAAGGAAACCTCAAACAGTGTGAGACCCTTAAAAAAACATGAAAAGAGCTAAAAAAAATGCTATTTTCAGTTAGGGTCGAAGCCCAAAAGTGTAAGCAAGAATGGCTAAGAAAGCATGCAAAAATAAGCTTAAAAGAGAGGAAATGTTGCTCACCCTTGAAGACCAAACTTTAGCAGCCTTTTGGCTTGAGAAAAGGTGCTTCCAAAGCTCTGAGAAGGCCCTCCAAGCTTCTGGAATGGAGTGGTGGTGTGGTGTTAGGTGGTGGTGTAGAAATGAGTGTAGGACTTGAGAGGTTTGAAGCTTGGAAGTGTAGAGGGAGAGAGATACAATATGGGAGCTCAAAGGCAAATTTTCTAACCCCTAAACCAGAGCTGGGAGGCTGGTTTTATAGGCAAAAGAGGGGGAGAAAAGGGTCGGTATACTGGAAGTACATGAATTCAAGTTTCCCCCCAAAAAGCTGGCCCCCCGGATACAAAATCTAGGGGGAAAAGAGATGCATATTTGAAATGTACCTGCAGCAAGGAGCAAGGCCAGCTGGTTATCCAGGTTGCAGGTGGCCGGTCGGCTACTTCTCATGGCCGGTCGGCTAGGGGTCAAAAGGTCTAAGAACAATTGCTGGCTGGCCACCACATATTGGTGGCCTCCCATGTGTGCTCCACACAATCATGTGGTCAAAAACTAGAGATAGTGAACCAGGAGAGAGAACAACCCACTTTTCAAAGAGGTTCAAAAGTAATTACTGGCCGGCCACCAAATATTGGTGGCCTCCCAGATGTGTGCATCACAAATATGGGGTTTAGGGTGCAAGAAAATGGCCCAAGGGTGGTCAACATTGGCTTTGAAGTGAGAAAAATCGGGCGACGGAGGGCGATGAAGGGATAAAGTTGGCTGACAGAACAATTACTGGCCTCCCATCCTTCTATGACCTTCCTAGCAATGAAACAGAGGTCCCTGCCAAAAACGAACCAAAGCCGATGCAAAATGAAGGTTCGGGGGCCGAAACGCGCAGCCCGAGTCCCCGAAAACTGACTGTTAGGCCCCGGAAGTGGTGTTCAACCACGAAGTCGGTTTCTCGGACCACAGTGTCCCTCAAAAGGGAGGATATAAGACATATGCCAAGAACCGGGGCAAACGGAGATGGTTAAGTGGTCCCGAACCGAGGCACATGGCCAACGGCTCCGAAAAACCAAAAACCAGACTCCAAAAGGGCAAAATGGCCTACGACCACGAAACGTAGCCTACGGCCACTGAGAGATAATCTACGAGACCTCTCCCTCCCTTCGGGAAGAGAAAACAGAGAAAACAGAGCCTGGTTCGCAAACCGAGGCAAAGCATGAAAGAGTCCGGAAGTC